CTACTGGGACATTTTCTGTTATAGAACTATACCCTAATCTATTGGTTCTGCCCTTGATGAACATATGGAGTTTTTAGTTTGGGGTTATTATAAATGAAACTGCTTTGAACATTGTCACACATATCTTTGGTGGATTTATGTACTCATTTTGGCTCATAAGGTAAATACTGGGTCATAAGGTAAATACTGCCAAAGTCATGAGTACCTTATCTACTTTCAAAAGCTTGATTGTTTTAGCTTTTATGTGTAGGTCTCTAATACAGTGTGGAGTATCAAGGTTCACTCTCCCACTCCCACAAGAATACTGTGTAGAGAGTTCAGAAAGAGTCTGGAGACTTTACTAGAAATAAATACTGAAGATTTATTCAAAGGTCAGGGTTTACAAGCTGGAGTCTCAGCTAGGCAGTACCCAGAGTGTTTTGAAGAAGAAAGAAGAGCTAAGCATTCTTTTTTTTTTAACAATTTTTAAAAAAGATTTTTTATTTATTTATTTTTAGAGAGGGAAGGAAGGGAGATAGAGAGAGAGAGAGAGAGAGAGAGAGAAACATCAATGTGTGGTTGCTGGGGGTCATGGCCTGCAACCCAGGCATGTACCCTGACTGGGAGTCGAACCTGTGACACTTTGGTTCACAGCCTGCGCTCAATCCATTGAGCTACGCCAGCCAGGGCTTGAGCTAAGCATTCTTATAGTAAAAAATAACATTCTTAAGAAGAATCAGTCCTGCCTTCTTAGCCTCTGGATGTGTCCAGGATGGTCATCGTCTCAAGGACTGTTGATCCAGATGATGGATGTCAGGTGGGCTGGGTGTGTGAACCTTCCTTCTGCAGCCCTTCAGTGCTTATCAGGGTTATCTGGAGGTTTGAGATACACACACACACACACAGACACACACATACATATGTGTGTATGTGTTTTAAAATTGGGATCATGCTGAATATGTAGCTTTGAAATTGTCTTACACTTAATATTATATAATGCTTCAAAACCAAATTTAAATGGCTGCAGATGAACTACTGTGTAGACGTACTATAGTTTATTTAACTCCTTCCTCTTGTTGGATATTAGGTTGTCATTTTTTCTCTTTCCTGTTTTGTTTTGCTCTATTTTGTATGTTGCAGGCTCTCCCCAAATGTCTAATGATCTTCTTTGTCCATTCATTTATATATGAGGTAATAAAAAGTCATTTAGAAGTTATGTGTGTATGGGCTTTGCTGTGGGGTGACTGGGTGTCATTTCTTGAAATCTCCTCAACTGTTAGATACATCAGTAATTTTTTTCCAGGGGAGAACTCTCCAGTGTGCTTGCTGCCTGCATGTTCAATACCAGGCTACCAGCTATCTTGTAATTTAAACATAATAACTTTGAAAATAGTGTTCTTTCCTACATTTCTACTTGGATGAGTTGTTTTATAGTGGTCTTATCTCCATGGACCACTTTCCAGAAGAACAGATTCTGCATTTCTCCTTGTGCTGTTGGGTATCTGCTGAGCCTGTGACTCTGAGCATGTCTTGAATGGGATGCTGGGATAGCAGTGGTCATTCAACATAATCTATTAATGGGTCTTGGCTGCTGCTCGACTTGAGCGTCCCTTCTGGAGCTCTGATTTGTCTTTAGTGCCACAATTTTCACTGTTTACATTTTGTTTGATCCTCATAGTAGGACTTTCATTTCTCCTGACAAATTTATAAGGGAAAACATTCATGTTACAAAGCTTAGTATCAAACCTTAAATTTAAAGCTCTTTGTGTTTTGGTTATGCTAAGTGGTTTGAGGACCGTGTTTTACATTGCTTTGCTCCTAACTCAAGCTTGGGAACAACGGATTCCTGCTGAGGGAAGTTCTGCTTTTCGAAAGGACTTTGATCTCAGCGCAGATGCTGTTTCTGTGACTTTGGCAGTTCTCTTTCTCTTACTGGCTTTGTTTGTTTGTCTGTTTGTTTGTTTAGAGGAAACCAAAAACAGATCCAGACTTTTATTCCTTTAACATGACTGTCTCTTAGAAACACAAGAACAGAATGCGGGTGGGGGTGCTGGGAAGCGGGAGAGTCATGGCTGCTGGAGCAGCTGCTTGGCTTCCATTCCCTAAAGTGCCTCTGTGAGTGGTGCATGGCGTGCCCCCACCACCCCAGACACGAAGGGATTCCTTGGGCAGAGAGAGAAAAGCACACACCAGAAACAAGGGGGAACATGACAGAGACGCAGGGAGGACACATACCTTGGGGAGTTCGGAGGGTGCCAGGGAGAGAACGACCTGGGATAATGCAGAATAGATGCAAATAGATGGACCAAGGAAAGCCATGAAATGTTGAGGTCTGAGGTTGTAATAGTTCTAGATGCTTTGTTTTTTCGCATTTTCACTGCTCATTGTTCTTAGAAAAACAGTGCCTTCCAAGAAATATAGTCCCAGTCTTTGCTAGAGTGAGGATAAATCATTACTACAGGGTCTTGTTGGACTAATCAAATTAAACTACGGTTTTGGAGAAATTAGGTCAGTCTGAAGGACCCCTTCCCCAGTACACACACTAATTTCAGGAAAGAGTAAGCTATGGCAACTGTGTTCTACTTCTGTGACTTAAAACACAGATAGTGAATGACCAGAGAGGGGTTAATGAAACTGATTTCTGTGTTAACCAGAGCTCACTTGGTTTTCTACAGGTTTACCAAAGCTTCTCGGAGGAGAGAGGAAATACAGAATAGGACAGCCATTATGTATGCCCAAATTCATGTGACAATTCCAGGATTAGTCACAGCGAGCCTCTGCATTAGGGCAAAGAGAAAAGCCATTGCAGGTCAGAGTGTGATGCCATGTCAGCACAGACCAAACCTTGAAGGGAAAGAATCCTAGTTCTTTTCTGAGTCCCCTTCAGACCCCTAGGAAAGTTAGGAGTCTCCAAAACGGGGTGCAGACTTCAGTTGGGGTCAGAATAGAGACTCTCAAGCCATTCTGATTCTATATTAAAAGTTTCAATTTATGATCACCTCCCTCAAATGGCATGCTCTCCACTCCCTCCTTCTACTGGATGTAATAAGCCCCTACTCCTAACCCAGCAGTCTGGTTACCACCTTTTCTAAAAATCACTGTCCTTGTTGTGTGTTTGTTTAGCCAGTTAGCCAAGAGGAGAGTATGAGCTGCGTTCATCTCTATACCCCCGCTGCTTAGCACAGGGTCGGGCCCAGCCAGTCCTGGGTGATGCATGCCTGGTTGAATGTCACTCAGAAGGGTGCATTAGCTTACCGTACTGGTTCCTAGGACTAGAAATTCTGCAGAGACAGCTTGATTCAGGGTGGGTTTCAGTCTGATTTCTGAGCTGTTATAAAGTCATCTGGAATCCCATTCCTTCCCTTCTTTCTGCTCTGCCTCCCTCAAGTGCCTACTTCATCTCAAGACTGGCTCCCTCGAGGGCGTGCGTTAGCCATCAGCGGGTTTTGTAGGGTGTGTCCTCGCTAAGCGTTGTGTGTGCCGGTTTTAAGGGGAAAGGAAAGTGGGAGTGTATTAGGGGAAGCCCCCATGCTTTAGCTAACCAGACCACTTCAGAACCAATCCCAGTGTCGTAATCCTGGATTCCTTTGACTCAATCTTGAAACAAAAGGGCAGCATGGATTGACTTAGGTTAGGTTGCACTCTCCCTGGAGTGGGTACAGAAGGAGCTCCCCTGAAGTTCTTGAACTGCAGGACGAACAGGCAGATACCTAACTGGAAATCTGACGACTGTTACAAAGGGGAATGGATATGGTGGTCGTGTGGGCAACCAGCAAAGTCTGCTGTCATTCTCATTCAGATTTTTCTGGGAACCCTTACTTAATGGCTATTCTGTTCTTCATATAGAGTCACTTATTAATTTATTGATTGCATGTTATGAAAAAGAATTAAGTAAAATTTAGTAAATACTAAGTATTTAGTAATAGTCAAAATAGTATATTTGGGGTATGAGACTCTTCCCTCTATTAACTTACTATTTCATTGCGGGTAGAAGACACAAAATTGGTAAAAGTTAAATAGCAATACAAGAAACGAGTAACAGTGCAAGGCGGCAAGATGACTGGTGTTGCACTGTTCGTCCAGCACATGGACTTTGCATCGCCCACTCATGCTTTTACTCTGGAAGGCATATGTCAGGCACTGTGCAGGTTACAGAGATGGTGGAAAAGAGATGCTGGCTCTTTAGACTTTTAAAGCCCAATCAAGAGAAAGCTTAATGGGCTTAGAGACTGGGATGCAATGGCCTTGCTCATAGATGCAAGCCACTAAGAACTGGAATCTGTAAACACAAACATGGGTTCCCCGTGAGCCCTCCAGACTCCTGAGAGCCGGTCAGGGGAGCCCCCCGGTCAGGGGAAGCATCAGCATCCTCTCTAGACAGCTCTGCCCTCTGTCCAGTGACAACTGAGCATGCTGCTCAGCTGCTCAGAGCTCTGGGTCTGCGGGAGCAGCTGGAGCACCCCAGTGCCCAGGGCAGTGGCAGCCCTTGCACTCTTTGGTCGGTCACTGCCAGCAGTGCTGCTTGTAGAAGACCTCATGTGGCCCAACCCGGTTTATTAGAGGATTGCTAGTGCTGGGTCAGCACCGCTGATCTGACTTGTAATTAGTGCTCTTAGACCTGGTGCCTTCTCCTAAGAACTATCCAGTCACATTTATGGACATTTCAGAGAATTCAGAAACAAAATAATATCCTATTCTTCATTCAAGACCATTATTGAGGGGCCTGCCTTGTGCCAGGCGCTATGCTAAGCTGTAGGGTCATAGTGATGATTCAGAATTGACTTGCTCCCTGCTGTCGCAGCCAGCAGTCTAGGGGGGAGGCAGACAAAGGCAAATAAACAGATACATAGGATATTTGCCTGCTGGAATGGTGAGAAGGAAACAGAGCAGGCAGAGCTGAAGATTTGCAAGAGGGTTGAAATACCTTTAAGGCATTTTGTAAATGATCTATTGGGTTGAAATTTTTTTCCCAATGACTTCTGCCAATTAAATGCAAATAACTTTTTTTGTTTGTCTCTTAGGTACATTCTGCAGATCCCTGATGAACCAAGGGAACCCACCACCGTACCCGGGCCCAGGCCCGACAGCCCCGTACCCACCTTATCCACAGCCACCAATGGGGCCTGAGGCCTATCCCCCAGGACCTATGGGAGGACCTTACCCACCTCCTCAGGGGTACCCCTACCAAGGGTACCCACAGTATGGCTGGCAAGGTGGACCTCAGGAGCCTCCTAAAACCACAGGTACTGTGGCGGGGTGTGTGTAGGTGCATATTTGGGTGCAAGAGCTCAGTCCCATGTCACCAAAGGAAATGTTTACCTGTTTTCTTTGGCAGAGAAGAAACTCTGGCCTTTGCGTGCCATGGTTGACGTTCTCAAAGCTTGGTGACTGCATAGGGTGGCTACTTATTCCTGAGAAGGACTTCTTTCTCAGGAAACCTGAGTCAGTTCTGCCTGCTTCCTTCTTTCTCTTGTTGCCTCTGGGGCTGATGACTTCCTGGCCGACACCTTTGCCGAGGGCACTTCCCGGAGCCCTGGTGGGGGAAAGTACCAGTTGGAGTCTTACTCTGGCCGTCCATTTTTTGTTTATCGATTTAGCCCATTGGGGTTATTTTATCAGCTTGTTGACCCTCAAGTCATCCTCTTGCCCCTGCTCTTGGGGGTTGGTTTCTTTTACTGATGTTTTCATAATTCTTTCTAACCTGCTGGCTGAGTATTCAGCTGGCGCATGAGTCCTTGTGTGCTGGAACAGTGCTACTCAAAGTTGGCTCTGCAGACTAGTGCCAGTCCGCGAACAGCTACTGGGCGATACGAAGATAAGTTCAGAAAGTGAGAGTAAACATTGAAAAACCTTTAGAACAATTTGATGGATATTTCTTTGACGTTCAAGCATTTTATCAAAAGCATCAGTCTGTGAAGGGTTGGAAAGGAAACATCTTGAGAAGCACTGTCCTAGGTGTCTCAGTGACTGCTGCAACTGTCGTAGCCTTTGGTTTGCGGAATAGTTGCTCTCTTAATTAGTTCTTTCAGAGTGCTTAATTCTTACTGAGTGCTTATTAGGTGCCACGTGGTCTCCTAAGAGCTTTATGTACATTAACATTTAATCCTTGCAACAATCCAATGAGGTTATTCCCATTTTACAGTGAAATAATTGATGCACAGAGCGGAGCATGATTTGCCCAAGGTCACCCGGCCAGAAGTGGCAGATCCCAGAATTGAATTCTGATAGCTTGGCTTAAAAATCTGTACCTGTAACTTCTTGTTGTGCTCTCGTCCCTCTCCTGTCCTTTCTGACACACACTCGTCTGAATTTAGGGCCTTAGGCTGTCTCAGAGATGTTCCAATAGCTTAACCCCTTACTAAACAAAAGTAGTAACAGAATCGATGGCTCATTTGATTCCAGCATTTGAGGATTCTCTAGAACGGGTGGGTGCCATGGAGGAAGAAGATGTTTAAGAGGGATTTCAATATGGAAAAGACAGTACTTGTGTAGTGTCGAATCAGAGGCTGTGTTAAGCTTGAATAGATTTGAATACCTTTTAAAGATTTGGTTTATCTTGAAGGAACACTTTTATAGCCCAAAATTCTGTTTCGCTATAAGTTTCAATGACACACGCTCGGGAGAGTGTGGGAAGTATAACCAGTGTGATCAGAGTAGCTACCATCCAGGTCTCTGACATCACAGGGAGGTTTCCTGAAAGTAAATATCAGTTTCTGGGTTTTCTGCTTCAAGACAAGGTAACCCTGGGATGAATGAAGGAAAGCAGACCAGAAAGACCACATAATGTGTGATTCCATTAATGTGAAATTCAGAAACAAGCCAAACTCATCAGCGGTAATGAAGATCAGAATAGTGTTTACCCCCGGCTACTGAGCAGGGGCTAGCGGTGGGGGGAGGTTGGTTATTGATTGGGAAGGGGCACAAGGAAACCTTCTGCGTATTAGGAATATACTTTCATCTGGGTGTAAACATTCTTCAAGCTGTACACTTACTATGCGTGCACTTTCCTGTATGTTATATGTCAATAAAAAAGTCATTCCAGCATTTGGGTTACCCAATAGACTCAGCCCAGCACCTGCCTGGGGTTATGTCTTTCTCCTGTAGCCCTCGGTCTATGGCGTGTAGGCCGTTTCCAGACCCGCACTGTTCGTACCGACTGAACTCACGTTTGGGATTCAGAACTTTATAGAGCTTGTCTAGAAACAGTGCTTCCTGGGCCTGGTGGACTTTGTCCCCTCGTGCGGAATACACAAACTTCATCTTTCTTTACCTTTGGTGTAATGTAAGTGTTATGTCAACCTTTTTGAGGAAATATTTTAATTCTTCTTAGGATTAAAAGGCAGTTTATCATTATTTTATAAATGCAGTTCAAAGCTGTTTAATGTCCATTCCTATCAGATTTTCTTTCTCTGTTATCAGCTTGTGAGTAGTTGACTGCCCTGACCCATTCTGCACCCAGACATGGCAGGTGATGCCAGATGGTCAAGTTCTTCTCTCACCTGGTGTCCAGGTTCTGTGAATGGGACCCTGTTGTCCCCTCACTAAGGGATGTACCATTTAGAGACCCATTTCATTCCTTGCTCTTTTATTGATTCTGGGATCCCCAGTCAAATTCATTCTTGGGGCTTGTATTCTGTGCCATGTCTCTGAGCTTTCTATAGAAATTTAAGGTGTTTTCTCCAACTGGATGATTTAGATTTATTTACTACTGCACATACCCTACCTCAAGCTGAAGTTCAAGTGTGTAGTCCATTCTGTTAACAGCTACCTAGGTGGAAGCAACTTCTTTGTCAAAGGAGGGAGGGTCTTCTTAGCTGTTCTAATTGGTGTCTGGTAATTAGTAAGGACTTACTTAATAAAGATGTGTTGAATAGATGGGTGGGTAAATGGGTAGATGGGTAGATGGCTAACCGAAGCAGAACCTTCTTTGGTAGTCTGTTTATCATTCAAAGTTCATTGTCCAGAAATTGTAGCTAAGGAAAACCTTTATCTTTCCTCAGTAAAACAGCTTTTTGGAAACTGTATAGTTGGAAGCATCAGGTGACTGTGGGAATAAGACTTTCCAGAGAGCAGTACGTCATGAGTTTTAATGATGACAACAGTAACAACTGTAACAACTAGGATTTCTTGAGCATGGTGTCTGGTATTAGCCTTATGTAATCTTCACAGCCACCCAGTAGCACCATCCCATGTTACACAGATGGAGTCTGAGGCTCAGGAGGTTGTAGTTCAGTTAGCTGTACTATGGGATATCACCCCAAAGCTCAGTGGCTTAAAACAACCATGATTTCTTATTTCTCATGATTCTGTGAGTTGGCTTCACGTGCTCTCTCCTGTGGTCACTTGTGTGACTTAATTCAGCTGTCAACTTGGCCGGGGTTGGAGCGTCCGAGATGTCCTCACCCACCGGACTGGGTCTTAGTTGGCTTCCCTGAGGCCTCCCTCTCCACATGGTCTCTCCGCTAGCTGGAGCTTCCTTACAGGACAGCCAGCTCCCACAGGGGTGAGAGTGGAAGCTGCCAGGCTTTTAATAGCTAGGCCCTGATCTGGCACAGCTCTCGTTACCCAGTACTCTGTTGTTCAAAGCAAGTCACAGGCTGGCCAGATTCAGTGGGAGGGGAAACAGGTCCCCTCCTATTCATCCCCTCACCCTTTTTAAAAATAACAACTGTATTGAGATATATAATTTATACGTCACATAAATTACCCGCCGACGTGTGTAATCCAGGGGTTTTTAGTATACTCACAGAGTTGTACAGCTGTCATCACTGTCTAGTTCTAGAACAGCTTCATAACAAACCCTTCGCAGTTACTCCCCATTCCCTTAACCCTCCCCCTTCATTAATCTACTCCTATGTAGATTTACCTGTTCTAGACATTTCTTATCAACGGGATCACATAATATATGTTTTTTTGACTAGCATCTTTCACTTAGTGTAATGCTTTTAAGGCTCACCCATGTTGTGGCACATGTCAGTACTTCATGCTTTTGTGCTGCCAAGTAATAGTTGACTGTATGGATGTACCACAGTTCCATTTATCCATTTATCAGCTGATGGATCTTTGAGTTTCTGCTCTTTTGTTATTATGAATAATGAATAATGGCCATTAAAAACAATCGTGTAAAATAACTCCCATCTAAGAGGATTGGCATGTGAACACCGGGAAAGGGGGATTGTTGATGACCATCTTGGCAGACAGTCCACAGCATTCCACTCTCTGCTCTCAACAGTTCACATCTCCTCCGTGTGCAAAATCTGTCTACTCCCCTCCAGTACCCCCAGATGTCTCATCCAATAACTACTTTGGCTTGAAATCTAGGATGGCATCATTTGAGTAGCCTGTGTGCCGATCAAGCCTCTGGCCCACCATGCGGCCCCCTTCACTCCCAACCCTCATTCCCACTCTGCCCCAACCCACACAGTCCCGGAGATCAGAAGAATATCACTTCCTCCACGAGGCTTTCCCTTGCGTGCTCCACATCTCCACTAGAAGTTACCACCCCTGTGTGCTTCAGCTGCACCCTATACAGCCTTCTTCCAAAGCACCTCCTCTCTCCGTTTTCAGTGAGTTTTTGTGTTCTGTCCAGTTCACCTCCTTAATGTCTGAATTCAGTCATCCTTGCTCTTGCTGTCTGAGTTTAAGTTTTCACCATTAGTTTTAGTCAAGACTTAAGGCTGCAACTGACAGAACCTCAGCCTTAAATATCAACCAACAACAGAGGATCCCACAGAGGCCTGAGAAAAGCCTCCAAAATGACAGACAGTAACAAAAACAGAGGAAAAGAGGGACTCCGAGGGAACAGAGATCATGCAAGGAGTGAAAACTCTGCTGCAAAAAAGAAAAAAAAAAAGCCCTCTAACATGCTTTGGCATAATATTTCTATTGAAATAAGAGTAGGGGTACTGTCTAAAAAGGAACTCAGGTAACAAAAGGACTTAGCCAAGAAGAATGTGAAACTGACCTCGGCCCAAGGATAGGTCCAGAAGACCCATCCAGACAATCACATCTTGCCCAACCAGAACTTAAGGCTTTCTGCCGCAGGTAGAACTTGACGTATGCTTTGGTTATCTACTGCTACATAAGAAACCACCTCAAGTCGTAGAGATTCTGTAATTTGGGTGGGGTTTGGCGGGAAAGCTTCATCCCTGCTCCCCAAGGCACATACGGGGGCTGGAACATAGACGATAACCAGCGTGCTGGGTTGAGTATGTGTACTTTCTACCCTCCAGTGAGGTGGGTT